TTGTTAAAATTTTGAATTTTTTTTTTTTTTATGTTTAATAATCAGCTATTTCCCCCCAAGGGGGGGTCCCCTGAAAAAAAAAAAACTTTCATCTCATTCACTCCTCCTGTTTTGCCAGAGGCATGCTTACATACAGTTATAAAACTGTAACATTTACATGCCTCCTTCAGAGTGCCAGCACTGTACTTCTCATCTCCAGGAATCAAGTCTAGCCTGCCTGCCATATATTATTAACCCCCTTGAGGGTCCGTCCCGTAGATCTACAGCTATACGTTGAGGGTCCAAACCGTAGATCTACGCCAAAATTCTAGTGGCGTCAAATTTAGTGCGAGAAGGCTGGTAGGCCTACATGTGAGAGAATGGGTCTGCGTGGTGTGTGTGCGCCATGAAGAAAAATTCTAGGCACCCGCATAGCATTGTGGGAACGCCGGGCTCAGTTACCTTTGTTCACCATGCCTTGTCGAAAGGCAGCTCTCACCCCAAAGGAAAATTGGGACTCTCCTCTTCCTATCTGATAGTTCTGACTCTGATGGAAGTGGAAATGAAGATGAATTCTATGGCTTTGATCAGTTAGTGACTGAAAGGAATGACCAGGATATCGATAATAGTACAGAAAATCCTGACGATCCTCAACCTTCTACCTCTGGTGCGGGCACATCTAGTCACTTTCAGTTGTACCTCGTTGCAAGAGAAAACTAATATTTTCACATGGCCAGGCCTCTGACTTCAGTAATGATGATGATAGTGATGTGGATTGTGATTTGATTGCTCTTGACGATCATTCGAGTAGTGATTAGTGAGGAAGCATATTCACCAGTGAAGCATCGGTATATACGCAGCCACATGCGCTTAGGTAGTGTTCCCTATGCAGTGCCCAGGGGACGGAGTACATTCCGGAGTACACCCGTGGCCCTAAACCAGGAATAAAGTGAAAGTGAGGATGATGTGGCTACACTTGGCATGGATGACCACAGGCATCAGTAGGTGGTGGTAGTGGGTGATGGTAGTGCCACTGCCATGCATGACTCGCCACCCAGGCTGGGGGCCCCAAGCCGCTGACTCCTCAGCTCAAGGACAAAGCGTGTGCCAGCCACCAGCCCACCACAACCACAACTACCAGCACAACCAGTTTATGATGTCCCGCCCAAAATCCCAATTTTGTTCCCAAGCCCACCAGTTTGATGACTCTCAAAATGGAATTCTACCCACTTGTCCCTTGGAAACTGCAAATTTAACTGGAATTCTTTGAATATTCTTTGACCAGCCCTTGATGGAAACTATTGTCAGGGAAAGTAACAAGTATTTTGAGTACCCCATGGCAAATAGATCATTCGCCACAGTAAAGATACCCGGGGGAAAAGAGAAACTGCTGCAGAAATGTATTTGTTTTTTGCAAAAATTAATGTTATGCCTCATGTCTATAAGCATAATATAAAATCTACTGGCCAAAAATGGCTAATTTGTCCCCCGGGCCCTTCAGCAAATCCGGAACAGGCTTTCTTACTGACATATGTTGCATTTATCTGAAAAAAACCAGGCCTGAAAAAGTGACAGGTTATCAAGATTGAAAAAAAGTTCAACATGCACTTTTATCCTTTCAAGAATTTTTTAATTGAGTTTTTGATTTTTTCAAAGGTAGGCTGTCATTCAAGCAGTGTATCCCGAGCAAGGGGGGAAACGCTTTGGGTTTAAAAACTGTTTGTATCTGTGACTGTGACGGGGGCCTGGTTTTGGATTTGTTTTATACTGGGAAGAAAAAATTTTGGGAAAGATCCCAGGATGTTATTGGGTATCTAGGGAGTATGAGAAGAAGGGCCTTATCTTGGTAAGGGGCATACATTTTTATATGTAACTGGTACACAAGCCCTTTATCAGTGATTTCGGGGGAATGAAAATGACAGATTTTGTGTGGACATTTGCGTTCTAATCGTAAACATATGCCCAGGTTCAAGCGGCCTCATAGGGGTGAGGTGCAGGTGTTTACTCCCAATGACATCAGGGCTTTACGGTGGCATGACAAACGAGATGTCACATTGTTGACAACCATTCACTGTAACGAAAGCAAGACGTGCCAAATTGATAGTGTAGTGAAGTATTCCCAGTGCGGTTGTTTACACAAAAAATGGGCTCCTTTTTTGACAATTGGAAAGCAGATTTGGGTTTTTTGATTGTGCGTAAGAGTTACAATGGTACTGAAACTTTTCTTCCATCTCGTGGACATTTCAGTGCTCAAAGCTTATTATGTCAAATGAAGACTGGAAAAGACCCCCGTATGGTGAATTTTGTTTTCTTTGTCAGGGCAACTATAATGTGCCAGGTAACAAAAACTTGTATAAAACCGTCCTCGAACCTCAGGAAATACCCCCAAACGTTTGAGGAGGGAAAAGGTGATCCTTTAATACAGCAATTAGAAGAAAAATTTTCCAGAAGGAGTTTTGTCTTGGGACAAACAAAACGACGGCAACAAAGACACAAAGACATCGGTTTATGGTGAGGAAGTAAGGTACCTCTGTGCATGATACCTTGTTTCAAGGAGTTCCCAAGCTGCAGCAGTTCAAAACAGTCCAGGATTTTAATAGTAAAATTTATAATAGAAAAATTAGTATTTAAAAGTTTGTGCAGTTTTTTGTAATAAACAAAAGTGGTAAAACAGTATTGTAAAAAATAACTTTAGGCCGTTATTGTGTTCAATACAGTGAGTGTATATATATATATTTTATACAGTATTTTGGGCTCACTGGCCACAAATGTTACTAAAAAAAAAAATTAGAAAGAAAAAAAAAAAAGTATAAAAAAAAAAGTAAAATAAAAAAATGCGGTTTGTGGAAAACGCCAATGTTTCCGCCACCCGGTCATTTTGGGTCAATTCTCGCCTTGATCTCGGTAAGTATTACCAGAAATTTTTTGTTTTTTCCTTCAAAAAATATACTCTTTATTTCTGTAAGAATTTTTTTTTTTTTTTTTTTTTTTTTTTTTTTTTTTTTTTTTTTTTTTTTTTTTTTTAAATTTCTTGGCCACTGGGGCACCCCTTCCGATTTTGCCTTTGAACCCTGAAAGGGTTAGCCTTGTAATTTAGTGGATTAATAAGACACATTTGCAACACTTGGATATTTTATATATCGACTAAAGAAGCCTACTCAGCAGGTGAATTGTTTTTGCAGTAAAGATACCATGTTGCAAATCTGGCTTATTCATTAACTTGTTAGTATTGTGTACCCTCCATATTACAATTACAATACAGTATAACAGTGATGAAACTTATTCCCACATTTCTCCAGTATGAGTCCATATCCCTTAATGCACACTTTTTCTTTACTTCAAAAGACAGTACAGCAGGGAAACTGTTCTAAAATAAATTCCTATCAGTTTATCTTGTGTGTTATGCTGAAATAGAGGGGCATGGATTATCTGGAGTTGGGATCTGTTAGCTGCAGTAGCGACCAAAGTATAGAATTGTTTGTTAATTGGGACAGTGATGAAATAAGACATTTATTTGGAAAATTAATGTTTATTTGAAAAATACATGGCAATGATATGACAGATAACTGATTTAATAAGAAAGATGAGTACCCTTTGCTTTTATAAGCATTGTTACACACTTTGGCATAGAATTGACCAATGTTGAACACATTTTAGCAAGTTCTTCATTGTGGTACCAGGTCCTGATAATGGCAGCAATAAGCTTCACAGTTGAATAGTCCTGTTTTGCAATCCTACACTTGGTTATTACCCATAGACAGAAGCAGACTGGGTCTTAAAACTTTCCTGGGCACCTGCCACCTACCAGGTTGGCTCAGCTGCTGCCAGTGCGACACTAGCAGACTGCTGAGGGCCAGAGGCATGTTTTCACTGCTCAGCTAAGGCGGATTCCATTTTTGTTTCAATCTTTGTGCAGCAGGAATGACTTCAGTGTTTTTGTGACATTTTTTCAGTAATTTTTTTGCCCAGCCAGCAGCCAGTCTGCCTCTGCTCATAGATTCTCAATTGAGTTGAGGTCAGGAGAGTTTCCAGGACAGTTTAGAATGCTTAGCCCACTCTCTTTTGAAGAATGTCAGCATTTTTTGGAAGTGTGGCATGGAGCAAAATCCTGCTGACCAATGCCTTCTCCATCAGGAAAGTAAAGTTTATTTTTTGTAAAGGTTACAATGTGTAATTACAATTGTGATTTGCCTAAGTAACAAAGATAGCCACTATCATGCTGAGGCATTTCGGGCAAACTAATCCTAATACATAGTAACTAATTAAAACTAGGTGAGATAATAGTACATAGTAACCATACTTAAAACTAGACAAGTAATAGTGGTTAGCTGTTTTACAATCTTATTTAAACTTAATACAAGCGAGTAGGGTTCGGTAAACTAAGCTTGAAATTGCACACAAAATCTACCTTAGAAGTAATGGTGCATGTGGTAATATTTTATTGAATGGCAGAATTAAAAAGCCAGGAGGTCACATAATAAGACTAATTTGTAGATGTTTTGACCGATTTGGTTAATATTGAGAAATATTATGGATTTGCAGAATTTAGAAGCAAATGAGTTGCCAGGATTGCCTTGTTTTTGTCACTGTTCATTGTCCCCTCAACAATAACAAGCCATCCAGGGCTTTTAGCAGTAAAGCTACCCCAAAACATCTTAGGTGGATGTTTTGGTACTTGTTAAATGTGATGAATGGTTTGTCGGTTTTTCAAACCATTCATCACAAGTGTCTCAATCTTCAACTTGTTAAATGTGTTCATTCTGAGGAGGTTTACCCCTTGCTCCCTCTCACTACACTGTTTTAACCCATTCATCTGTTATCCATCCCTTATGATCAAGTGCCCACTGCAGTCATTTTGTCTTCATACCAGCAGTCGATAATTGTTTCTTTCCAGGCTTTCTGGCAGTTCTGCCAACTTCAAGAAGCCTTCATCGAACAGTTTAAGAATCAACATTTATGCCAGCTGAAACCAAACCTCTATAGACCTTCTCTGGTTTTCTTGGGATTCTTCACACTGTTTATTATAACCTCGTCATTGTGAGGTGTTGTCTTGTATTTTCTCCCCATCTTCCTCAATGCAGTGCTCCTTAGTCACCAGTGTCACCAGCTCTCTTTAGAATCTGACTAACAGTTGACTTTACTAGGCTCAAATTTTTGGCAACTTCTGATACTCAAACCAGCATGTTTTCTAGAGGTACAATACTTGCATGCTTCTATGTGTAACATCCATCATGAATTTAAGCGGTAATTATGAATTGAAGGGGAGAAATTGGTGAAACCACTTTCACTCGTGGAGCATGCTTACAGGAATAGCTTTACAGAACAAGAGTTGCTGTAGCACTGAAGAGAGTTGCAGGGCAACTCCACAGCTGGATGGTTGCCAGAAGTCAGTAGCAAACTCTTCTGAAAAGAAAAGAACCCAAACTACATTAATTAAGCCAGAGACTAAGACATATGAGATAATCACAAAATTTACTCCTGTCCCAATTAATTTGCACACTACTGTATCTAGCTTTACTCAATTTCTTTCATATATTGTAATCTTGCATGCCAGAAAGTTTCATAGACAGCCTTCATGGCAAAATTCATTACAAATACTGATAAGTAGTGCTTTATTATGGGTATATAATAAAGGTGCTACAGTATACTAATATTATCTGTGATTCTTAATTAGTGATAACATATTGAAATCAATTGTATAAGCAGACTGTTCTGGAGGATATAGTTCTTCTATGTTGGATTCCTTCGACGGGCACTGGATTGTGTCTAAGAGTATGTCCATACAGCGTCAGAATTACCAGTTTCTCACCTTGCCTGAAGTCTTCCGTTTAGCTACACTTGGAGGAGCTCAAGGTAAGTGTCAAGACACCATACAAAAATACAATACAGTACTTCATTAAATAGGATAAGTTGTGTATCTGACAGTTACTTTTGCTGATGATACTGTTATTTTGGGGGATTCTAAAGAAGAGTTGCAAAGGTTAGATGGACAAGTTTGGGAGGGTGTGTAAAGGTAGAAGTTGAAAGTGAATATAGATAAGAGTAAGGTGATGAGGGTATCAAACAATTTAGATAAAGAAAAATTGGATATAACATTGAAGTGGAAGAAGTGAATGTTTTCAGATATTTGGGAATTGACTTGTCAGCAGATGGATTTATGAATTTCGAGGTAAACCATAGAATTGATGAAGGAAAAAAGGCGAGTGGTGCGTTGAGGTATCTAAAGGGACTGTATGAGAGTATAGTGGTACCAACACACTTCTATCGGTGTGAAGCATGGGTTGTAAATGCTGCAGCAGGAGGTGGCTGGAGGCAGTGGAGATGTTGTGTTAGGGGCAATGTGTGGTGTAAATATTATGCAGAGAATTGAGAATTCGTAGTGTGGAAATTAGGAGGTGTGCAGTTACTAAAAGTATTAGAGGGCTGAAGAGGAGCTGTTGAGGTAGTTTGGTCATTTAGGAGAATGGAACAAAGTAGAATGATTTGGAAAGCACATAAACCTATTGGGAGGAAGACTGGGTAGGGGTCGTCCCCAAAAGGTTGGAGGGAGGGGGGTAAGTGGAGGATTTGTGGGCAAGGGGCTTGGACTTCCAGTAAGCATGCATGACTGTCTTATAGGAGTGAATGGAGATGAATGGTTTTAGGAACCCGACGAGCTGTTGGAGTGTCAGCAGGGTACTATTTTGTGAAGGGATTCAGGGAAACCGGTTAGCCAGACTTGAGTCCTGGAAATGGGAAGTACAATGCCTGCCACTTTAAAGGAGGGGTTTAGGATATTGGCAGTTTGGAGGGTCGTCTAAACTGTCATATCTGAGCTCCTCTGCAAAGACAGTAATTATGTATGAGTGATGGTGAAAGTGTTGAATGATGATGATAAATTTTTTTTCTTCTTTTTGGGTCACCCTGCCTTGGGGGGAAATGGCAGACGTGTTTAAAAAACAAAATTGTGTATTTCTATAAAGCTGTATGATACCATAATAAATTAAAATAAAATCAGAGGTGGTGCCATAAATTTCTGTAGTGAGAGAGCCTAGAAGTGTCTATCTGGTTAAAAAGGGAAATGCTTGTTTTTTTTTTTTTTAAAAGCAGCAGCTTTAACCCTTTCAGGGTCGGCGGGCCTTCTCCTAAACTTGTTCTCAGGGTCGGAAATTTAAAACAAAAAAAAAAAAAAGTTTTTTCTTATTAAATGTTAGAGAATCTTTTCCCAATCATAATGACACCAAAAGTATGAAATTTGATGGAAAACTTACGGAATTATGCTCTCACGAAGTTAGCGGTTTCGACGATGTTTACACATCGGCGATTTCGCCCACTTTGAGCCCTTTTTTTTGGCCAATTCCAATGTACCAGTCAACAACAATCATAACTATTTTTCTAAAACATCATTTTTTCTATCGAATGAGTACAAGAAACCACCCATTACCGATTTCAAATATCCCAAAAAAGTGGTCAGAAATGTTTAAAATTTTGCCAATTTCACACAAATTTCAAAAGATGCCCAATTTCCAAATAGGCTCCAAAATAAACAAGACAGAAAATTTCCCGGCACTAAATAACATTTTTTTTCTGTTCATTAGTCTCATCCGCAGGACTCTTTTACATTTCTTTTGCTTTCCACTTTGAATTTTTATTCCCAAAAAAAAAAAAAAAAAAAAAAAAAAATTAGAAGATTTACTGTTATGCAGGCTTTCTGCATTAGTGTAGAAATGGTATAAATAATATCAGCGCACTTGTGAAAGAATATTAGGGCACACCAGTTGACTGTATTGGACGCGTGGGATGATTTGTTTACTTTTGAACTTTGGCAAAAATCGAACATTTCTGCTACTTTGAGCTCAATTTCAAGGTACTTTTCATTATGACACCAGTCAAAATCATCTCAATTTTCTGTAACATGTCTTCCATTGTATAAAAAAAAGACCAGGAAAACTAGAATACAACCATAAATATGCATATGAAAATACACTGTAAAGTTTCTGTTTTTTAAAACAGAAAGACAGTCGGATTTTTTTTTTTTTCATTATGTACTGTGTGGTTGCAGGATTTTTTTTTATACTGTGCACACTGACCACATACACATTCTTTCATGTGTAGGCCTACCAGCTTTCTCTCACTAGATTTGAAGGCGCTAGAAATATATGCGTACTAGTACGGCACCAACCGTGGCGTGCAAGTCGTACAGTATGGCACCAACCCTGAAAGGGTTAATACTGTTTTATTTGGAGGGTCTTTGGAAGGCATGGGGATTTTTTGGAAAGCTGAAGCCCCCTCAAGCTTCCCTTGATGTCATCCTGCTAAAATACATACGGATACACACAAAATATGAATGCTGTTTTATATGAATATTGCAGTATATTTTAATACATTCTAGGTAGTATGTTGGTAAACAGCAACTGCCCAGGGAGGTACTATAGTCCTGCCAAGTGAGTGTGAAATGGAAGCCTGCACAGGTCCACCATCACAAATCTGGCATCATTAGGGCCTGTAGTGTGCTGGATTACTGAGTTTGCCAGATTACAGAGTGGTTAGGCTAGAATACACTTAATAAAATTAACCACTTTGACTTGCACAAAGTTCATTGAACATCGGCAAAAATCGAACATTTCCACTACTTTGAGCTCAATTTCATGATTTTTTCTCATGAAACCAATGAAAATCATATCTATTTCTGTAAAAATATCTTCCATTCTGTCAAATGAGACCAAAAAAATGAGAATACAACCACAAAAACTATACGAAAATATACCACTAAGGGGCGGCTAATAGCTGAGAAATGAACTCGGTTATCTGTCATCCGATTTTTCATTTTTGGTGTACGTTAAGAAGCATCTTTCCATCATACATTGCCCAAATTTCAATAAGATAGCCCAACAAACAATGAGAGAGAAAAAATTATTATAATAATATCTTTATTTACTACAAGTACATGTACATGGTAACAGGCCTAGCTGACATCAGTGAAATACTACTATATAGAAAGCCCCTTGTGCTAAGCATTTCAGGCATATTAGGTCAGTGTCCCCGGATAAGACTCGCAAAGGACGGTAAACGATGCCTGGGAAAAATTCAAAACAATGTTCACTACCATCCTTTGATAATATTGCTCCAGTTAAAGAGGTTAGGATTAAACGAAGAACTGAACCCTGGATGAATACTGAGATATTAGATAATATGAAATTCAGAGACCAGCTGCTAAAAGTTTTTAAAGAAAACAGACAGGATATTGCAGCACTAAATGAATTCCAAAGGGTGAGGAAAAAGGGGTACAGAGACTTATAAAAGGAGCAAAGGAAAAGCACTAATTGCTCAAAAATTGAAGAGCAAAGCATAACCCCAGAAAGCTCTGGCAACAACTAAAACAGTTGGGGTATAGCCATAAGCCAGTAGATAGGTTTAACATAGTACTCGCTATCGATAATGAGGTACGCCACGAACATCTAAGGTGGCAATTGCTTTAATTCCTACTACACATCTGTTGCATCAACACTAGTAAGTAAACTACCAGCTGCATCAAATACCTTTAACACAGACTCTGATAAGTTTCAAAACATACTATACCAATAAGGGGAAAACCCCAAACACTTGTCAACTAGTAAGTGTATCTCATGATTTTATTCAAAAGAACTAAGCGGGTAAACCCAACTAAGAGCACAGGCCCTGAAAACATCCGTCTAAGTTCCTAAAAGATGGTGCTTCTGAACTGTCAATCCCTATTGCCTCACATATAAATCTATCAATCACCACTAATACCATACCAGAGGGGTTCAAGGAGGCCAGAGTTACTCCTATCTTCAAGAAAAATAGTAGGTCTGATGTAAGCAAAATATAGGCCTGTTAGTATACTCAGTATAATATCTAAAATTCTAGAGAGGGCGGTGTACTCTAAAGTAGTTAAGTACCTTAATGACAACAACATTCTCCATAGCTATCAATCGGGCTTTAGAAGAACCTACTCAACCGACACCTCCCTTATTAATCTGATGGATTAAACCTGAGAACTGAAATGTCAAAGGGGAACCTCATAGGTAAGGTAACCTTAGACCTGCAAAAGGCCTTCGATACTGTCAACCACAATATATTATGTAAGAAACTTCAAGCTATCGGTAAAAGGTTCTGTAGACTGGTTTAAGTCCTACCTTAGCAACAGGGAGACAAATAGTCAAAATCAACAAAACGAATCAGGACCCCTGCCAATAACATGTGGAGTTCCCCCAAGGTAGTACAGTGGACCCCCGCATAACGATTACCTCCGAATGTGACCAATTATGTAAGTGTATTTATGTAAGTGCGTTTGGGACGTGTATGTTTGGGGGTCCGGGAAAAGGACTAATCTACTTCAAAATATTTCTTATGGGAACAAATTCGGTCAGTACTGGCACCTGAACATACTTTTGGAGTGAAAAAATATCGTTAACCGGGGGTCCACTGTATTCTGGGTCCCTTATTATTCTTATGTTATGTCAATGGGCATGCCTATCAGTGTCAAGTGCAAAAAAACTCCTACTGTATGCAGATGACAGTGCTCTGTTAGTGTCAGGTAAAGACCCAAAGATATTGCTATGTTTTAACACTGGAACTGGATCCTGCAGCAAAGGTTAGTAGACAACAAACTTTTCATTACACCTCAGGAAAACTGAAGCCATTCTCTTTGCACGAAACGTAAACTGAGAAGGGTTTAAAAAATTTTAATGTTCAGTGAAATGGGGAGCCCATCACTTGGGGGTTTTGTCAGTAAAATATCTGGGAATCCCCTTTTACCCAGGCATGCAGGAGAATTGATAGGGAACAGTTTTGTAAGAAAGCGAATGCCAGACTGAAGTTCTGTATAGACAAGCACAGTGTCTACCTACTGA